GGCGCTGCCAGTCGCCTTTCAGGCCGAGGGGAGCCTGGCCTGAGGCGCAGCAAGGGGCAGGCGGTGCCAGGGGGCTGCCCCAGGCGCTGTGGAAAAAGCAGTAACTGACCTGGCAGGGGACCCGCTGTGTATCTGGGTCCGTGAAGGCAGGAGACCCGCCAAAAGACTTTGGAAATATCTGGGTGGGGGTGGAGGGTGTTTGCCGGGTGTCAGGGCCCCTTATGGTTCTGGGGATTTGGATTAGAACACGAAAAATGTCTTTCACAATAAAAATAAAGAAATAAATGTATCTGGGTCCATGACGGCAGTTTCCTGTAAGCGTTCCTGGGGATAGCCGTTCTTCTGGCATGGTTCAGTACCCTCCGAGGGGCTGGGGCTTAAAGCCGCTTTATGGAAGTAGGAGGCTCCTCCCTAGCTTGCTCCTGTGGCCATATGGCGGAGGGCAGGCAAAACTTGGGGGCATCTTGGGGAAAGCACCAAGCTGCCTTGCAGAGGCAGATGGGGCAAGAGTGTAGGATACAGTGAGGCCTCTGGGGCTGTGGAGATTGCTCTGCAGGGCACAGAGGCAGCTGGCTTTAGCCTCCTGCAGGGAGGTGGGGTGAGACAGTAAAAGCGGATGCTTGGGAACAGAACCAGACTAAATCCCAAGCAGTGGAGAGTTAGGCAGCCCCTTAACCCTGCAGGGCTTAATCTGTTTGCTGACTATCACATCTGCCTGGGGCCTGCTTTGCAAATGCACTGTTAACTGTTTCCCTCCTCTCCTTCATGCTCTGCTTCTTGTAGTGGGGGTTGGTTCCCTGGAGCCCTCATCTTTTAGGTGTGCCTGGAGCTGTATGTAAGACACCCCTCACTCTTGGACCAGTTCAAGGTGTTTCCCGGGTTGCAATCAGAATCCCCAGATTTTGGGCGAGCAAAACCTTCATCCCCAGCCCATCACTGTTAGCACGGACTGCCCCCTTGTCAGCCCTTCTGAACCCTCTCTCCACGCAACTGCTGTTCCACAGTCCAGGCTGTGCACTGACAGGGCCATGGAAATGACCTCCTCCTGTGTCCTAGAAGGGCTGCTGCAGCACAGAGCTATAGCATATTAGCTAGGCAGAGAAGGGGTTTAGAGGCTGCCCCTGGTACTGGGACAGGCGCAGCAGGGGTTTGAATCTGGAACTCTGTGGCAACAAGGCACAATGGTGCTGAGGGCCTACCATTAGGGAAGGAAGTGCTTTTGGGCTGGGGATGCTCTCTGCAAACAGCAGGCAGCCTACCCGGGCTCAGTTTCTTAGTCTAGTAGTTGTGGCATCAGAAGGATATGTGCTGCATGCATCTCTTCTGTGACAGTCTGCACTGCCGTGGGGTGGCCAACCTTTGCCAAGAGAAGTCCTAAGCATGCATGCACCCCAGAAGCTTGTTGGTGTGTACCATCCCTGGGGAGGGACATAGGTCAGTCATTGGAGACCACACAGCACGATTCACAAGGAAGGGGCTGCCCAGCCCTATAGGAAAGGTCATGGCCACAGGGGGCTCATCTCTGCTAGGTCCTGTCATGTGGTACCTTGGCTTATGTGGTAGGGTGCAGGCAGGCTGCTGGAGGCAGGAAGAGGCGTCTTCTTCCATGAGCCGAAGAGCATCTGGGGCAGAGGGGGCAGGAAACAAGGCCATGACCAGGCTGGGGTCACACAGGCCCTTGTCCTTTGCTTGCGGTGGGTGCTGACTCTTTTTTGTCAGTGAGGGGGTGGTAGCCTGGCTTGAGATACAGAACCTAGGATGAGGGTGAAAGAGAGAACAGAAAGCCCCAGGTGCAGCTGGGCCTCAGGCTGTGGTGGCGACAGGACATCTGTTTTGTTTCTTAGCAGACACAGCAGTGCCAGTCTTGCTTGCTGGGTTTAAGTGAAGGCTAGAGCCGTCAAACCAAGTCACTGACCACAGGCAGGCCAGGAACCCCCATCATGCCAACAGTCTCTGCCTGACACAGGCTGAGACAGGGGGGTTGGATGGCGCAAGTGTCTTTCTAGGCCAGGTTGAAGCCAGTTCAGTGCTGGCTCCATCTCTGCAGTTGCTATCTAGCCCGGGATGCTCCTACCCTGCAGGTGTTCCCCACTCCTGCCAGGGTCCTAAGGCTGTCCATCACTTGAAAGTCCACCTGCAACTTGGCTGTTCTGTAGTGTCTTCAGGAGCTGGAGTAGCTGAGCATTGGTCCCCAGCCTTGCAGTACAGGGTGAAACAGGGATTTGGGGGCAGCAAATAGTAGTGATGACAGCCATGTGTACGCCCTGAGCACTGTTCCCGTCAGGAATGGGGCTGCACTGTCTCTACAACTTATATGGACCACTTTGCACGCGCCCTGAGGCTTTTACCCCCTTCTCCCTCACCTTCCCAGACACCATGCTGGGCTGGGGGTTTTGCTTCTTTCTTTGCATTAACACTAGCAGTAGGTGCCAGAATGCAAAGCAGCTGCACCTGGAAAGACTGTCCCAGGTTTCTGCACTGCAGCTTGATGCTTGACTAGCTGGGGAGCCTGGATCCTGCTGCTCATAGGAAGTGAGACTAAAAGTATTATACAACAAAGGAGGGTAGAGGAACCACAGAGATAAACAGACTCCCTAATAAGGTTGCACACACCTTACTGCTCTAACTGATCTCTAGCAGCTTCTAAAAGAGAACACAGTAAGCACTAGTAGATCACCAGTGAGAGGCTCTCCTCCCTTCCAC